AGAAAATATTTGCAAACCATATCTGTGAAGGGTTCAGCATCTGGAATATACAAAAAACCCTATAACCCCCAAACAACCCAGTTAAAAATGGGCAAAGGGCTTGACTAGCCATTTCTCTAAAGAAATATAAATGTGGCCAAGAAGCACATGAAAAGATGCTCAACATCACTAATCTCTTTTTTCCCCTTCAAAAGGCAATGCCTGGGCCAGGGATTTAGCTCAGTGGTGAGGTGCCTGCCTCACGAGCACAAGGTCCTGTATTTGATGCCCAGTACAAAACAAAACAAAACAAAACAAACAACCCAAAACCTAAAACAAAAACAAAACAAAAAAACCCATATATACATATAGGAAGTATTAAAAAAAAAAAAAGCAGTGGCAAAGTTTATTTGAAAACGTAAAATTGAAGAGTGAGGGACAAACTGGCTTCTCTGAGTGAGCCTGGGCTGAGTAAAAGAGGAAAAAGCAAGGTAAAAGTACACCCTGGAGGACACAGGGTGGGTAACATGAGGAAAGCCACAATAATAGCCTCAAAATTACTAAGTTGGAGGCAAATGAAAATGAAAGCCACAGTGAGGTAACTTCTTCAAGTCATTAGGATGGCCACAGAACAAAACAAAACACAAGAAAAAACTCGTGTTGGAAAAAGGATGCAGAGAAGCTATGCACTGTCGATGGGAGTGTAAGTGGTGCAGCCATTGTAAAAAACATCAGAGAAGTTCCTCAAAAGTTCAGAAATAAACTACCATAGGGTCTAGCAATTACACTTCTGGGTATATATCCAAAAGAACTAAAAGCAAGATCTCGAAGAGGTATGTGCATATCCATGTTAACTGCTGTATCATTCACAAAAATCAAAAGTGCAAGTATACCAGCTGGGCGTGGTGGTGCACGCCTATAATCCCAGCACTTGGGAGGCTGAGGCAGGAAGATCACTGTAAATTCGAAACCAGCCTCAGCCTACATAGTGAGTTCCAGGTCAGTCTCAACTACATAATGAGACCCAGTCTCAAAACAAAACAAAACAACCAAAAAAAACAAAAAAGTGAAAGTATACCAAATGTATACTGGCAGAAGAATGGATAAAGAAAAAGTGGTACATATACAAGTAATGAAAAATTGCTCAGCCTTGAAAAGGGAGGAAATTCTGTCACAAATTTAGGCTAAATGAAATAGATCAGGATAGAAGGACAACTACTGTAAGATTTTATTTATATGAAACATCTAATGTAGTCATAGTCATAAAAACAGAAAGTAGAAAGGTGTTCACTAAGGGCTGTGGGAGTAGGAAGGAAAGAGGAGAAGCTAATGTTTAACTGGATACTGTTTTAGCCTTACAAAATGAAAAGTTCTAAGGTGGGCGTGGTGGCACTTGCCTGCAATCCCAGCACTTGGGAGGCTGAGGCAGGAGGATTACTGTGAGTTTGAGACCAGCCTGGGGTACATAGTGAGTTCCAGGTCAGTCTCATCTACATAGTAAGACCCTGTCTCAAAAAAAGAAACAAAAGTTCTAGAGATCTTCTGCACAATAGTGTAAATATACTTAACACTACTGAGCTTTATAATTAAAAGTGGTTATGATGGTTAATTCTTTCTAAAAATATAGTAAATTATATAAGTCAGAAACAAGGATTCCTTCATTTATATGAAATATGCAGATGCTACAGTTTGGATGTGTGTTTCCTTCACCCACCCAATTTCATGTTTTGGAAGCTTGGTACCTAATATGGCAATATTAAGATGTTAGGCCGGGGATTTAGCTCAGTGGTTCGGTGGCCTGCCTTGCAAGCGCAAGGACCTGAGTTCAATCCCCAGTACCAAAAAAAAAAAAGATGTTAGGCCTAATGAAAAGTGGTTTGGTCACTGGAGATTCATGACATTCTCACAAAGTAAGTTTCTTCCCATAACAATGGGTAATTATGAAAAAAAGTGAGGGACCCCTGAACGTCTCTGGTTTCCTATCTTGCTATATCATCTCTCAGTTACATGTGCACCTACCATTAGGCCATCTGCCGTGGTGTGATGCAGCCAAGGGGGCTCTGGCCAGAGGTCAAACCAACTGGGCTAACTGATCTTAGAATTTCAGCATCTAAAACTGTCAGCTAAATAAACAATTCATTTTTTCTTTACAAAGTACCCAGCCTTGGGTATTTTGTTACAGCAATAGATACTGAACTGACATACTTGGGATAATCAAAATGATGGGACAGAAGTCAGAATAGTACTTTCCAAGAGCCAGGGAAAGCTATAATGAGGATTTACTTTTTCCTGGGTAGTCTCAGTTTGGGGCAGTAAATAAATTCTGGAGATGAATAGAGATGGCTGCATAACAATGTGAATACACTTAAAGCCAGTGAATTGTACATTTACAAATGGCTAAACTGGCAAAATTTTACTACCAAAATTGTCTAACAATATTAAAGTAATTCTCAGTAATTAAAAACTTCTATTTGTCCAATTTGAAAATGGACAAAAGAAAAATACATTTTAGCAAAGAGAGAAAATGGATGGCAAATAAGCACATGAAAAGATATCTACATTAAGGAAATGCAAATGAAAGCCATAATGTTATAATGGTCTGAACAATCATCAGAACAGCTAAGAATTAGTGTGAGATGTGAGTTGTGGAGAAACCAGATTACTCTAGTTTGCTTGTGGAATTGTAAAATGGCATAACCACTCTGGAAAATAGGTTGATATTTCTCATAAAATATGTACTTATTGTAGAACTGGTACATGTTCTTGGGCATTTATCTCTGAGAAACAAAAACCTATAAATGCAAAAATTTACATAAAAAACATTCATTTTTGCATTCATCAAAATATGGAAACTACCCAAATGTTCTTCAGTTGATGAATGGTTAAATAATTCCCACACAGCCAGGGATTTAGCTCAGCAGTTCCGCTGCCTGCCTTGAAAGCGCAAGGATCTGAGTTTGATCCGCTGTACCAAAAGAAAAAAGAAAAAAAATTTTTGACACATCCCTAGAAGTGAATATTTTGGTAACAGGGATCGAACTCAGGTCCTTGCGTTTGCGAGGCAGGCACCGGAACCACTGAGCTAAATTCTCAGCCCTCTAAAAGTGAATATTATTCATCATTTAAAAAGGAACCAACTAATGATACATGCAATAGCTTGGACAGATCTCAAGGGCATTATGCTTAGTGGAAAAAAAAAACTCAAAATAAAATTATATGATTCAATTTATACTGTATTCTCTAAGTGACAAAATTATAGAGCAGCAACACAAATTAGAAGCTATCAGAGACAAGTGTCGGTGGCAGCATGAGTAGCTATGATGTAAAGGGGAACACGAAGATCTTTGTGGTCATGGATTGGTTCTGTGTCTTGATTACAGCAGAAATTACATTAAGCTACCCATGGGTCAAATTGCACAGAGCTACAGGCACAAAGCCACCTTCCCAGACAAAGATGGCTTAATGTAGAAACTGGTGGAAACCGAATAAAGTTTATAATCTCATTAATAGTATCATACTAATGTCAATTTTCTGATTTGATACTGTACTTCAATTATTTAAGATATTCCTGTTGAAGGAGCTGGGTGAAGGCTTCATAGCACTCTATGTATTATTTTTTATTTTGTGTGTATTTTTTTGTACCAGGGATAGAATTCGGGACCTTGCGCTTGTGAGGCAGGTGGCAGCACCACGGAGCTAGATCCCCAGCCCCTGCACTCTATATATTATTTTTGAAACTTTCTAAGTTTCTAATTGCTTTTAAATTAAGGGAAAAGAAAAAAAATGTGAAAAAAGGAAAAAAATAGGAACAAAGTCTTTGTAAATAGGGAGCGGTGAAGGGGGCAAAGGGAGGACAGGGGCATGGGGAAAAACAAGGACCAAGATACATCATGTAAAGGTACAAGATCCCAATGATAAATGTAACTGTATGTTTGCTTTAAATATACCAAAAAACTTAATGGGGAAAAATTACAAAGGTAAAAAAACTATATGCACATTAAACATATGTTTTACATGTCTGTATATGTGTTTACCAAGCTAAATACACAGCAAACTCATTAGAATGATTAAGAGGAATGAGAAAAATAAATTGTCAGCCTTGGATTGGATGGTAATGGCAGTATGCTATAAAATGAAAAATATGAACGCAAACGAACTTTAAAAACTGTTATCTATTTTTACCTGATGTACAAATAAACCCTTTTTACAAATATATATATAAATATACATATATAAAAATACATTATTTATATATATATTATTTTTTTATTTTTAATTTTTTTTTGTACCACCAATGAAACTCGGGTCCAAGCACTTGCGAAGCAGGCGGCGGAACCACTGAGCTAAATGCCTGGCCCCTCACAAACATATTTTATAGGAGCCTACATGATAGGAACAGACAGACCATGGATGAATTCCTACCTATGCCATTTAGTTGCTGTGTGACTCTGAGCAGGCTACTCTTGAGATTTCTGTCAGTAAAAACGGGAACAATATACCTCATTTTCAACCTTCTTGGGAGCGTGAAATGGGAACAATACAGATAAAACGGTTAAAACAATGCCTAGCACATAGTAAGAACTCAATTCATGGCAATAAATATTAGATCAGAAACTGCAACTACCAATAGTATCCTTGAAACTGGCTGACAAAAGATATAAAATTTTAAATTTCCTCTAGAAACTGAAAAAATATTGTGAGATCAGGAACTACGTTAAAAAACATTTGTGTGTGTGGTACTGGGGATTGAACCCAGAAATGCTATGTCACTGAGCTGTATCACTAGCCCTTCTTGTTTTTTTATTTTGGGACAAGGTTGCCAAGACCGGCCTCTGACTTGAAATCACCTTCCTCAGCTCCTGAATAGCTGGGGTTACAGGTGTGTGTTATGCCCAGTTGTGTTCATCTTTCCATTGTTACAGCCTGAGGTTTTACACACAAATATCCATGGCGTAAATGAATAATTACAAGGTTTAATTTCACTGCATCAGTACATTTTTACTATGGAGTTAGTTCTGTACCTTCATCCTTCATGTTTCGATCTATCTGAGAACCAGCGTTTCTCTCTCGGAACTGTATGCCCTGCATATGTCTTTGCATAGCTTCCTGTATCACTTCAAACAATGGTTGATCCTGTTTGAGACATCACAGATGTTACTTTTGTTAAAAGTTACATTCTTCTTCATAGTACCCCAAACCCCACAATACAGTAATGTGAAAACATATACTTTCCTTTGGATTAGGGTGGCCGGAGAATTGAGTTCTATACATCAAATAACAGTGTGCCATATGAGTATTTAATATTAGTAGTTTTAACTATTCAGATATTTGACAGAAAATAATTTGTACTTTTCTTGATACATGAGAATAAATCTAATGAGTTTTTGTGGTTTGTTAAGAGTAATAAATAATAAACAGCTTGTCATCCCGCACTTTAATTTTAATTTGATATGTAATGAAGATCAATTATGTAAATTATGTGTAATAATAATACTTTTAAATTTGGGGATCTATGGTGACTTCAGAAAATATCCTTAGTAAATACAGAGTAAGTAATTTTCTTTTATCCTTATAAATAATAAAGATTATACTAAGGATGACATAGGAAGAAAAATAATTATATTTTTTTAAAATAAGCCAAAAATTATCACAAGCAAAAACGTTTTGAGTCCTCTTATATTTCATTATATTTCATCTTAAAAACCTCTAAATAAAATAAAAACTCTCATAAAAATTCTCCTAGTAATTATGAAAGTTACAAAGCCTTTTAAAAATGCTGTGGAGTTGTTTTTGACAAAGTGACAAAATTAGTTATGTGCAAAATAAATACCTGCCTGATAACATGCGTGCATATTCATATAACTGAAATGTGTCAGTTGACAACAGAGACAGATTAAAAAACTTATGGTCAAATTATTTTTTAGTTATTCATGATAACACATACATATAGTATCCTGTAATAGCTTTTACCCGTGCCCAAAGTCATCCACCAAGTAAATTATAACAAAAGCAGGTCAGAAGTAGCTAATGTGTAATTATTATACATTCCCGATTGGGAAAAAAGCCACTCAAAAATGTTTATCCGTTCTCCACTGTTCATAAGATAAACCTTGAACTCCCTGGATTGGTTCTCTACCCTCCTTACAACCTCTCACTTCTCCGCAGGTGTCCCACACAGCCAAATCTTACTGCACAGTCCGACCTAATCAGTGCTTCCGTTCACTGTGCTTCATTACCCTTTCATCTTTATTATCTCCTGACAACCTGCCTCATTTATCTGAAAACACTACTTAACATGTAATGCTCAATTTAGGCAAAGTCTTGCTACTTTCTGACATTCTTCCTGAGACCCACCTATTAGCTCTCTCTTTTATGAGACTACACAGCACTTTCTCTACATCCTTTTGCAATGATTATATTTATTCACACTCAACTCTTCTACCATGTTTCATGCTCTTTAGGCAAGGAGCAAGTCTTTGCAATCTCTCATAGTAACACCAGGTGCTAAATAAATGTTGATAGTTGAATAATTCTTAAGATTCAGATGCTGAGTTATTTTCATTTTACATTAAAATTATCACAGTTCAGGAAGAAATTATTTTTACCAGTGTACCAGCAGGCAAAGGAGCAGAATCATCTGTTGGATACATCCGGGAAACTGGGCACTTGAGAATATCTAGTCCGTTTGGGGCAATTTTACAGTAATCCTGAACACACTGCAGCCACCACCACACTGCATCCCGGCAATTGTACCTGGCATAAATCCCTTCACCGAGGAGATTAGGAATGAGACCATGCCTCAGAGTGCCAGCGAATGCTAAAATAATATTCCTAAAACAACATAATTAAGTAGATCATTTGAAATGAAAATAAAGAGTTGAACATAAAAAAAGATGGTTACTTTTGATGACTTTATTTGGAGGCATTTTTAACCTACCCATATATATGTGTGTGTGTGTGTGTGTCTATATATATATATATTTTTTTTTATATATATATATAGACACACACACACATATATATGCATGTATTTTTTTTCAGATAGTGGTCATAAATATAATAGAGTAAGAACGCCCAGAACCATATGCCCAGCTCCAGCCCTCTCTGAAGGGCCCCCACTCTAGTCTCCTTAAATTCTGCCTAATAAATTTCTTTATGCCTCACACTAACATGTCTTGAAAACTCCTTTTGTGTGAGTGAAGTCAGAAGCCTACGACCTACCCCACCAGTGGGGTGAGTGGAGTTCCCTATCTCCACTTTGGAAACCCTCTTGTGCACCACTCCATGACACACAGAAGTGGAAAGTGAAAGCCCAGACAATAATCATAATGATCATAAAGCCTAGCATTTTATAGAATGTTCAGCATGTAGTGGATACTGTTCTAGATATTTAAACTGCATTAGCTCATTTAATGCTCACAAAGCTCAATAAGCAAACGCTACAAACATTTTATAGAAAGCATGAAAGAGGGAGTGATTTGTCACTTGGTAATCTGGCAACAAAATGAGAAGCTCGCACTATGGCCCAAAGGCCTAGTTCTTAACTACTATACGGTGCTGAATGATGATGATCTATTTCCTACTTCTGAGTCAGTCATTGTAGGGTCACTTGGGAGAAGAATCAAAAATCTTCTCAATTTTGATAGTCCCATAATTAAAATTTAAGACAATAAAAAAAGGCCTTATATATTAGAGCAGCAGAAAGAACATCATTCCTAAAAAATGCCCACTCGGACATTTCAATTTTATTGTTTCTATTGCTGTTATCTTGAACTCCTGGCAATCCTCCTAGCTGGGATAACAGGTATGCTCTATCACACCCAGCTGACACTGAAATTTTAAAATGACGCCCCCCATAAAAATAAAAACAAAAAACTTTTGGCATTTGAAGGGGAAATTTTCAGTTATTCTTCTGATGGCATCAAAATAAGATGTCATACACACACAGTAAATGCTTTTTTGCTAAAATTTCAACCTGCAGAGCAGTGCTTTTGAACTTTGGCCTCAGGTTGCTGATAACTACCTGGAAAACTTGGGAAGACAAGTGTTTGCCTAGCAACCCTGCTCTCCCCACCTCAAAGTTTGGATTCAGAGGGTTTGCAAAGGGACCAAGGATTTACATTTCTAACAAGTTTTCAGATGATGGTGACAATGACAATACTGCTTTGAGGAATACACAGTGAGAGGCACTGTTGTAGAACTTTGCAATTTCTCATAAATTTGCTTATATTACTGAGATATAGCAAAACATCATTTTTAGTCTAGAATACATAAAACTGGAGGTTGTAAGGCCTGAAAACAAATAAAGGAAAACTTGAATTATCTTTCTGACTCAAAAAGCCAGCAATGCCTTTATTATACAAGGCATAAAATGGTCACACAATTTTGTCTTATAGAAATAAATTTGCAAATGCTAAAGATAACCTGGATCTTAATACGGAAGACCAGAATTTAGCAAGTTCAAAGATTTTTCCTACTTTAAATCATCTTCTATGATCCTATTAAATGAATATATGAAAAATAAAACAAAAAACACCTAAGGAAAACATACCACTCAAATGTTGTTGTTAATGGGTGGATAAGAAAGTAAGTTTGAAGGACATGTGAAAAAAACAACTGGGACATAAACTTGCACTGCAACTTTTTAGATCTCTTACCTGGCCTCTAAAAAGCGTCCAGTAACCAGCAAAAGTCCTCTAAGTGCAATAAAAGTATCCCTTCCCCAACAGCGGAAAAGACCAGCAGAAAAATGAGGTAAACCTAACAGAAAAGACAACAAAATATATGTTAATCATAACACATGCAAACCTATAAATGCTATTAGTACAAAAGAGTCACTCTAAAGCTGAGATAAATGGACAGATTACTAGGAGTTAGTAAACCCTTTTAAATTAGCTGCAACATGTAATGTGTACACTTAGATGAACTTTTTTTTTTCTGTTTTTTTGAGACAGGGTCACACTAGGTAGTTCAAACTGCCCTGGAACTCACTGTGTAGCCCAGGTTGGTCTCGAACTCACAGTGATCCTCCTGCCTCAGCCTCTTGAGTGCTGGGATTACAGGCATGCGCCACCATGCCCAGCTAGATGAATTTTTATGGAATGAGGTTCTATAGTCATATCAGATTCTTAAAGGAATATGTGATCTCAAGGCAATTAAGTACCAGTTGCTGAGGTATTTTTCTCCTTTATTTGTGGTGATAGGGATCAAACCCAGAGTATTACACATGCTAGGCAAATCTGCCACTGGGCTATATATCCATAGCCTTAAGAACCTGTGCAAGAAAGGGATACCTAACTGAATTGACCTGAATGTGTCTTTGTTGTTTGTTTGTTTGTCTGTTTTTTTGAGACAGGGTCTTGCTACGTAATTCAAGGAGGTGGCCTTGAACTCACTACGTAGCCCATGCTGGCCTTGAACATGTGGTGATCTTCCTGCCTAAGCCTTCCAGGGCTGGGATTACAAGTATGCTCCACTATGCCCAGCTCTGAATGTGTCTTTAAACACAGATAAACTTGCTTTTAATAAATTAAAAGAATAATATCAGAAATAAAATATTTAACACATAAAGTAACACAATATAACATTAATTATATGTAAAAAGATTCTACCTCAACTTAAGGACAACAAATAAATATGAATATGAACTAATTACCTGAATGATACCTAAATATGTTTATTAATCTATTTTCTACACTCAAAATTATTACTAAATTTTCTATTGATTTAAAACAACAGTGTCAAACTTTGTACATAATATATACAATTGTTATCAATCAAAAATTAATTTTAAAGTGTTACATTTTCATAGAAATAGCTTTTGCAGATGAAAACAAGGACTACACATGCTAAACAATGTGAACATTCCAGGTAGCTGCAACATTTATGCATGAGGCAAAATAGGATTAATGGAAAAAATCTAAAATTTTACTATTAGTTTGAGTTTGGTGCCCCTTCTCCCCAACATCCATGCTAGGGATTCAACCTGGGGCTTTGCTCACGCTAGGAAAGTACTGTATTTTACTTACTTCCTGCCTGATTGTTGAATGACAATATCTCCCTAGTAGAAAAAAAGATCTATGATGACACAAACTTTATCTGCCTTGTCATGTACATCTATTCATTGAAAATCATAACTGGTATATTATATATTCCTATAAATATTTGTTGAATGAATAAAGACTAATGCTAAAATGTAAATTCAGAAGTAAAAGAATGACTGAAAAGAAAATTTTGGCATTGCTAAATATACTTTACAACTTAAATTTCTGCTAATTGGGGCCTTCATTTTATAGGGGATTAGACATTAGTTTCTTCCATTAAGAAAGATCATAACTGCTACTGGACATGGTGGTGCACACGCCTGTAATCCCAGCACTTGGGAGGCTGAGGCAGGAGGATCGCTGTGAGTTCGAGACTAGCCTGGGCTACATAGTGAGTTCCAGGTCAGCCTCAACTACATAGTGAGACCCTGTTTCAAAAGAAAGATCATAACTAAGGGCAACACTTGACTTTTTTTTGTGTTATTTCCAATATATCAGTACAAAATTTCCCGAAACACACAAAAATATATGGTTGATAGTTGGTAACTGTGATGATGACAATGACAATGTCTAACACACATGTAATATTCTGTACAGACTTCCTAGCCCTTTAGCTCATTTAACTTCTTATAGGTAACATGTGTGTAGATTAATCTGTAGGTGAGTTTGAACTGGTATGTTCTAAAATATACACAGTCTAGGGGGTTGGGATTTAGCTCAGTGGTTTTGTGCCTGCCTTGTAAGCCAAAGGTCTGAATTCAATCCCCAGTACCAGAAAAAAAAAAAAAAAAGAAAAGAAAAAGATATACACACGCATCACACACACACACACACACACACACAGAGATATAAACACACAGTGTCTTTGTTGAAAAGTGAAAGGTGTAAAATCTCTAGCATTGGGCCAGGATTTAGCTCAGTGGTCCACTTCAGCACTGATATGGTGAAATGTTTATATTAACTTTTTGACCTGAGATCTACATCCTGTAGATCACATATACTTAGAGTGATTTCTTTTTTGAGACAGGATCTCACTATGTAGCTAAGACTGGCCTTGAACTCACTATGTTGCCCAGGTTGGTTTCAAACACACAGTGATCCTTCTGTCTCAGTTTCTCATGTGCTGAGATTACAGATATATGCTGCCATACCCAGCATCTGGAATGATTTCTACTTTGTCAATTATTATAAAAGCCCAGAAAAAAGAAAAATTTCAAACAACATCATCAAAGAAAAACAATCCTTTCTGTCTTAAAATGAATCCCTAAAAAACTTATCTGTAAATCTCAGCATAGTCCTATTTTTTGTCAGTTAGGCAAAACAGTCTCGAGATACTAGAACCAAATACCAAAACATGTATTTATATTTATTTATTGTACCTGATATACACATGTAGCAAATATTATAATTTATGTCAGTATATGATTTATAAATAAATGCATATATCTTGGGGTTTTAAACAACCACAGTATACAACCAAAAGATTAAGCGAACTATTTTATGTAATAGGCTTCTAAAAAGTAGATTCTAAAATCCAAATTTATCATATCTATAGTTTTTCCCATAACACACCAGTTTAATTTCATGAGCACTACATAGATTCACAGGAGCATAATTGCAACTAGAAGGAAATAAGTCAACTGAAAATTTAAAAATTAAAAGTTTTTATTTCATTCCTTTTTTCTTAGTTTTAAATTTTTTTTTGCAGAGTTGAGGATTAAACCTAGGGCCTCATGCATACAATGTAAGTATTCTACCAATGAGTTATATCTCTAGACCTAAACCAAGTTTTCTGTATTTTTATGATCAATCTAAGTGAAAAGGTAATTTTTATTTTAGTTGTTGGGTACTATGAAATCTTTCATCTGACCTAAGCAGATGTAAATTTAAGGAAATTTAAATTTAACAGAAGGAGCCACATAGACAATATTACTTTCTTCTTATAAGTTTTATATATTAGTTTAGAGCTTTTTAAACATCACTGGCCTTGAAAACTAAGAGCTTTTTAGAAATGTAGTGGAAATTTGTGTGTGTGTGTGTGTGTATGAAGAGTCTGTTCCTTAGCCTATTTTGCTTACTTGATTAATGTTTTAAATCTACTTGCAGGAAAGGATGTCAACATATTTGGCTGAAAAGATCTGACAGCATTTAGATACATAATAAAAAAAAATCATTGAAATGATCTTGTAGTAATTGCAAGGTAGGTTTTTAAAAAAATCTTGGTAAGAAATATAGAGAAAAGTAGTAAACTACATCTGGTTTCAAAAAATATGAAATGTCAACAGTTGGAAAAAAGATACCTACAGAAGAAAAGAATAACCAATCAAAATAGAAAACACACAAATGCTTGGTAGACAGCTCCGATTATATAGTAAGTTTGGTTGACACTATGGTTATTATTTTTATAAGTATCTATGACATTTTACTAAGCAATAATATAAAATGTTGAATAACATCATGAACTAAAAAATCAGTTCCCATAAGTATTCCTTTTTGTATATTATTGACTTACACATTATAACCGTCTACAAAAATCCCTTACCTGCAGCCAGGGAAGCACAGCACTGTTCCTTTTCTTTTGTGATCTCATTTACCCTATATGGTACATCCAGAAGTGAAGGTGAAAGAAGTGGTAGACAAGGGAATTTTCCTACTCCACACATTTGGACTGAACCCAATGAAAGGTGTTTTACAAATGTTGAACCATTTTGAACAAAGCTATAACAAAAGTGATGGAATTGAAAATATTATTGTAGAGACACAAAACTTTTTAGAAATTTTTATTTCACTTGGGTTTTCCCCTTCAAATGATTTCTCTACACAAATGTGTAAAAATGCAATAGAGCTTAAAAACAAATGTTGAATTTGACTATTTCAAAACTGCTTGCATGCCACCCATTATTTCAGCTAGCTTTAAGCCTAAGGTCTGTTATAAAACAATAGGTAGGGTTGAAGTTTTATGTTTTCTGAAATGATGCCCAAATCAATTTAGTGGTTCTCACAGGTACAGTTCAACCTATGGTTTCATTTTAGGAAATTTCATCATAAAAGTAAAATTTGATTAATAAAAATAGTAAAAAAATTTCTTTTAAATTATGAAAATAAAAAACTCATGGAAGGCTGAGGCAGAAGGATTGCTGCAAGTCTGAGGTCAGCATGGGCTACAAAGTGAATTAAAGACCAGCCTGAATTACATATCAGAACTCTGTTTCAAAACAAAAACAGAAAACCCTAAAACAGTAAAGAAAAATTATGTAAAATTTGTATTAAGTCAATGACTAAATAGGAACAAGTGATATAAAATAATCGATTCTTCCTCAAACATGTTTTATAGAACTTACCCCCGCCACCGTTCTGTTCTTTTCATTTGGTACCAGGGATGGGACTCAGGGCCTTGCACTTGCAAGGCAGGCAGCAGAACCACTGAGCTAAATCCCCAGCCCCTCCCCACACTTCTTGAGACAGTCCTGTCTTGTAGGCCAGGCTAGTCTCAAATGTATTATGTGGCCCAAGCTGTTTTCAAACTCACTGGGTAGCCCACACTGATCTTCCTGCTTCAGCTCCCAAGCACCGGGATTACAGGTATGCACAATACACCCAGCTCTGAGACAGATTTTTAATATGTAAGTTTGTTTTTGTATGTTCCAGACTAGAGGATACTGATAAACCTATTACTTAAAAACTTTTTCAGTGTATGCCTATGACAACTCCTCATATTTTGGTCTTTTAAGAGTATATATAAAGTGACGGTATCAATTTTCTATATAAACATGCCTATTTACTCAAGCTTTTTTGGATATACCTTGACATGTGCTTCCATGCTATATCCAGAAGAGTGGTATACACACCAATTAATATAGCATCAAAATAACATGGGATAAGATAACGTGGAATCTGCTTCAAGTAGAAGAACATAGCCTGCAACCATTTGCCAACCTGTTACAAAAATAATTTAAAAAGTTAATGTGATGTATTTACAGTCTAGGGATATTTCAAAGCATAATTTAAGAGGTGAATCCAAACATGTAACCTCACTATCTGGTAATTCATTGACAAACTTTCTACTTATTAGAACTGAAAGATGATGTAGGGAAGAAAATGGCTCATAAAGCACATAAATATTAGACATGACATGGTAATGTAATTCTTACTGTGGCCTTGATTACTTATTTGGGTTAGAATATTGCTCTACTTACTTCAGCAATAATTCCTGATCGTGAAATAAGTCGGCCACTGACATAGTCAATCATCCAATCTCCAGATCTCAAATTATCACAGAAAGGATGCCCCAAGTCATTCTTTGGTCTTATTTCTGCCAATACAGACATTAGTCCTGAAGATTCAAAGACATAGCATGGTATGTTATTGGCAGAGTCAATGTTTCTATGACCGAGGCTATGACAGTCTCCATGATTTGGGGTTAACACAGAGAGGTAGGCACAAAGGTCTCCTAGTTCACAATGACAGCTATCAGTGTTGGAGATGAGTGTGAAAGTACTGGCTTGAGCCAACACACAAAGACATCCTGAAAAGACTGCCAAAGCGTCAGAATTTCTGGGGTTGGTTTGGTTTTTGCTTATTTGCATTTTAATGTTATAATACATTCAAAGGTAGCTGGTGCAGCTTTTCTGCCTAAGGTATCAAGAGAAAAAAATACTTACTTGCCTGTATCTATCTTTTCATGTTAAAAAGTGGTAGATTCATTAATATTCAAGAATGATTTAAGCAAATCACATAAATAGTTTCAGAGAAAGCAAGAATTTGTATGGTGATACCCAACTTTATAAAACAAAAACTACTGTACATAAATAGACAGACACTAATACAGTCATAGCAAGAGGCCTCAACACCCTACTGTCACAATTAGTTCAGTCAGATAAAAATATTAACAAAGAAATATCAGAGTCAAACCACAGTACCAAACAGATTGAACAGAGCATTTCATTAAACAACAGAATACATATTTTTTTCAGTAGCACAAGGAACTTATTAAAAACTACACCATATCTTAGGCCATGAAGCATGACTAAATAAATACAAAATAATTTAAATAATCCACTGTATACTATTAAGTCATAGTGGAAAGAAGCTAGAAATCAACAGCAAAAGAAACCATAGAAATTATACACCAACACATGGGGATTAAACGATGCATTACCACATAATCAATAAATCACAAAAGGGATCAGGGAGGAAACAAAGAAGTTTTAGAATCAAATGACAATGGTAGCACCACATGCTTAAATGTATAGGACACAATGAATGCAGTACTAAGAGGGAAGTACATAGCTATAAATATATATATTGAAGGAAGTGAGCAATCCCAAATATTACCTAATGATACATCTAGAGTTCCTAGAAAAATAAGAAAATTCAAACTTTAATAGAAGGAAATAAATTATAAAGTGGAAATTAATGCAGTTGAGTCTAAAAAAATACAAACGATCAATGAGTCACAGCTGGCTTGTATAAAGGATAAACAAGATTTACAAACCCTAGGCCAAACTTACCAAAAGAAAAAGGAAAGAAAAAACTTCAATCAATGGAATTAGAAATACAACAGGCGGAATCAAAACCAACACCACCAAAATTGAGAGGATTATAAGGAACTACTTAAGAAACTAATATTCCAAAAAATTGGAGAACCTAGAAGAAATGGAGAAGTTAGTAGAAATACATGAATTACCAAAATTGAACCAAGATATAAAAACTCTGAACACCTGCCCTGCGGCTGGGTTAGGGGGGCGTGCGTGCATACAGGAGGGGTGGGAAGGACTGCCTGTTAGATCCCTAGGCAAGGCTCTTGTGCCTGCCCCTGCCAAGGCCCTTGCACCCCTTAGGCTGCCCGGCCCAGCCATGATCAAGGCAATCCTCATTTTAACAATCTCGGCCCTACAGTGAAGATACACAACAGCAAATCACCAGGGAGACCTTCCCTTTCATTTGTAAGAGAGATGATAAGGTTTGAAATTTTCTAGGAGGATTATTAATTGGGGATCTGACAACAAACTGTTTTAAAGACATTATGCAACACGATATTCTGTCTTCTGTGTGGATTCTTTAGAAAGTGAAGCTGGCATTTTAGATTTAATTGTAGTGTTCATGGAAATATTACACAAATGTTTTGAAAATGTCTGTGAACTGGATTTAATTTTCCATATAAACAAGGTTCACAATATTTTGAGGAAATGGTGATGAGGGGGATGGCACTGGAGACCAACATGAATGAAACTTCTATACAAACTGACACAAAATAAACTGGAGAAACCTGAAGCTGGCTTAGCAGGAGGTCCAGCCCAGGCTGTATCAACTGTAAAGAGTATATATCTTCATAAGATCCCAGGAAATACTAACATTGGTGACATCAGTATAAAAGTGCCAAACCTACCTTAATTTGAATAAAATATTAAAAAGGCCACTCCCAGATAAAATCCAGGGGAAAAGGTCTAAGTTTACCCACAGTTGTTTACCAAAAATAGAGGAGGAGAGTCTTAACTTTTGCTCTTGGATTTAAGTCAAGGTACTGAACAGAAGTTGTGTAAAATCGGTATGAAAGTTCAATGTTGCATTTCTTGCTCAATGATTTTAAAGAAATTGTATAGTTTCAGTGTGATTTTTTTTTTCTTTTCTAAACTGCATTACTATGCCCACCTACGGCATGCCTCTATGTACTGGCTATTACAGTATTTTGAAAGTGAAGTATTTCTTTAATTATGCACAACCCAAAACATTGGTGTTTTGTATGGATCATAAGCGCAACATTCCTTAATTCTATTTGTCACAATTGTTATTTAAAGAACCAAGTATGTATTGCATGAAAACACTGTGACCTTTTCCTCTTAGTTTAAATAAACTCAGAGGTAACTGGATTTCTAAAGTGCGCACCCCCGTGCGCACACACACACACACACAACCCCAAAACCCACACAACTCTAAACAGATGAGTAACAGGAAACAAAATATAGCCAATAATAAAAACTCTGCCAACAAAGTAAAGCCCAGGAAATGATGGGTTCACTATAGAATTTTAGCAGAACTTCACTGAAGATTTAATCCCAATACTCCTCAAACAAGGGAAGGAATATATACTATTAAACTCATTCCTGGAAGCTAGCATTACCTGATACCAAAACTGCACAGGGACTTAACAAAAAAAAGATAACTCTAAGCAATCTCCTTAATGAACTAATACACAAAATTCCTCAACAAGACCACCAACCGGCAAACAGAATGCAACAAATCATCAAAAAGATCATACGTCATGACCGAGCTGGCTTCATCTCAGAGATATAAGGATGGTTCAACACACATAAACCAATAAATGTAATTTATCACATAAACAGAATCAAGGACAAAAATCACATCATCATCATCTCCATAGATGCAGAAAAAAACCTTTAACAAAATCTAACACTGATTCATGATCAAAACCCCAAGGAACATAGGTTTAGAAGGATATTATCTCAACTTGATCAAAGCCACTTACAAGTCTAATGAGAACATTAAATGGGAGAAAGTGGAAAGCTTTCCCTCTAAAATCAGGAATAAGAAAAAGGACATCCACTATCACCACTCCTATTCAACACAGTTCTCAAAATATTAGCCAGAGAAATCAGGCAAGAAAAAGAAATAAAAGGGATATGTATAGGAAAGGAAGAAATTAAATTATTATCAGTTGCAGGTGATATAATCCTTTATATAAAAGACCCTAGAATCAATAACCAAATTCAGTAATGCAGCAAGATACAAAATCAACACACAGAAATCAAAAGTGAGTTCAATAATGAACTCACTAAGAAAGAAATTAGAAAAAACAATATAATTCACAATAGCATCAAGAGAAATCAAATACGCAGGAATTAACTAACCAAAGAAGTGAAAAACCTCTCCAACAAAAACTACAGTACTCTGAGAAACAAGATCTAAGAGGATATCAGAAAACTGAAAGATATCACCTGTTCTTGGATAGGCAGAACCAGTATTTCAAAAAGGGCCATACTTCTGAAACTAATATAAGAATAGTGTAGTTCCAATGAAAATACCAAAAGCATTCCTCACAGAACTAGAGAAAGCAATCCTAAAATTCAGATGGATCCTCAAGAGACCCAGAGTAGCAAAAGCAATCCTGGGAAACAAGAGCAGAGCAAGGAGGCATCACAGTCCCAGATTTCATATTATATTACAAAGCTACAGTGATAAAAACAAGCACACTGTTTCTTATTGTACAATAAACCAAACTGTTGAAATATTAAGGCCAAAGTATACTGAAGAGGAATGACAAGAACTAGTCATTCTAGGGAGCAATTATTCTCCAGTAGTGAATACTTTGTGCCCCACTCTATTTACATGGATAAGTTCATTTGTTCCTCACAGAATGCTCTTTAGTTAGACAATTTTATTTCTCTTTAATTGAGTCAGAAATTAGGGTACAGAGAGTTTATGTTACTCAGCACAGGTCAATCAAGGAGTAGGCTGCAAAGTCATAATTTGAACCCAGACAGACACATTTTAAGTCCATGTTCTCATCTATATAAAGAAGACAGCATATGACTCACAAAGAAAACAAAACAAAACAAGCCAACCCCTCAAACCAATCTAACAATGCTTGCTCACCTTGAAGGCCTGCATATTTAAGGGATGACCAGTTTGGTATGTTATAACAACCTCCACCATCTTCCTGTTCTTCTGATTCACATCGGTAAAGAATTTGATTTAGCTCAGCCAAAGTCAATTTAGAGGCGATACTAAGAATTGGAGAAAAAGGCAACTGGTTAAAAACTAAAATTTCACTTGCTGTCAGTAAAAACAACAGAAAATCTGCATTAAAATCATAAAACATCTTAGCAATGTAGATTTTAGGAACTCAGTACTGAAAAAAACATTATAGAGATACCATAACAATTAAATACTATTAACTTAGAACTAACGTTACTTTCCCAAAAAAGAAAATAATCAAGTACAAACTTTTTTTTATTAAAAGTCTGCTGTAAAAATCTTTTGGTTGTTATAAATTTGTTTTCCTCTTGGTGATGGGAGGACGAAAATGTAACGACACAGCCTTGATTTCCCACAACTGAATACAATAAAAACTGGATTTTCTTGTGCTTCTAGTTGTCTTCTTCTTCCTCTTTCTTTCCTACTTCCTTCTTCTTTCTCTTTATTAGGCTTAGGGTTTCTAAGGTTTCAGTCCAAGGCAGAAACATCATGGTAGAAGAGTATGACCATCACCAAGACGAATCTTTTTCTGAGAAAATCATTATTTCTTGAATTGACAAGTTGAGGGTTAGTAAACCTTAGAAGATAGAAGGTACTAAGAGGGAAATACAAAGACAATGATTTACATGACTTCTTAGGTGGTTAACTTTGATTATTCTTTAATTGGTCTTTTGAAAGTATTTCAAGTTTAACATAAAAAATTGTTGAAGTTGCATTTAGGAGAATACAAAGGAGGGAAAAATTAAGTATGAACTAGAAAGACCAAAAAAACAAATTTATAAGATATAGGATATAACAACCAAAAGACTTTTCAAGCACACTTTAGGACACTGCAGCTGGAAGCAAAGACTTTTCCCTCTTCTATCCACTAAAATTTTTCTTCTTCTTTACCTTTTATTCTTTCATACAGGGTCTTGCTGTGTGGTTCAGGTTGCCCTTGAAATCACTATGTAGCCAACAGTAGGCTCAAACTCACAGCAGTCTTCCTACCTCAGCCTCCTGAGTGCTAAGATTACAGGCATGTACTATCATGCCCAGTTCATAAAATTCTTATGAACAACAACAACAACAAAAACTGAACACAACAGAAAAATGTGCTAATACATAAAATGATGTTTCATTAAATTTTACAAGTGGACAAAACATTTTAGCTTAACTAATTTTTTGTTTGCTGTGTAGCTCAGGTTGGCCTCGAACTCATGGCAATCCTCCTGTCTTAGCCTCTGAAGTATTGGTATTACAGGTGCAGGCCCCAACTTAGTTTAACTGATATTTAAAATGAGATGCTATTGGGTCAGGGATTTAGCTCAGTGGTTCTGCCGCCTGCCTCTTAAGCAAGGTCCTGAGTACAAAAAAAAAAAAAAAAAA